ATTTCTTCTTAAGTTTAGAAACCACTTTCACGTTAGCTACTTTCTTGTAAGGTTGTCATGATGGCAGCAGGGTTTTGTTCATGAAAGACTGCTTAGCAGAACCTTGCAGGTTCACCTTGCAAGAGCTTGTGAGAACCAGCCCTTTGAAAGCATGACTGGAGATTTGAGTGATATAAACTCCACAGAGTCATCCATTTTCCAGGTCTACTGCTGCTTTATTCAAGCTGGACCCAGAGTTTTTTACTGTCTTTCAGTGTCACAAGGGAAAGCAGTGCCAAGACCCCTCTCCTGCTCTGTGCTGAGAACAGGATGATCATGCTAGGTCTGATCTACAGTGACATGGAATGATCACAGCTTTCAGTACAAATGCGAGCACCAGATGCTTGGCACTTCTGCGGGCAAGGTCACTATCTAATATTCATAGAATCTTTCACACTGTAATCCACTATCCTGCACAGGAAGTTCAGGATGTAAGGCATTTTTCTTACTGAGCAGCAAAGCAATAAAAAGTTTATATCGCTAATAGTTAAAAGGATCTCCTTTACTTGCCCTGTACCTCTTGCAGTTTAAGCTCTTCAGAGAAGTGGCAGTCTGTTAGTCTTGTGCCTTTCTCAGTTTTACTGTGACTAGGCATCAATACTAACACCAGTGCTTTCACTCAGTTTGACTGTTTCCCCACTGAAAAGCACCTAGCTCAAAGGGCCACACTGACTAAAGTATTATGAAGTTTGTCAGCTGTATCAGTAGAATCTCACTGACGGGGAATCCCACACCACAACCTTCCTCAGTAGAACCACAGGCGATAACAGACAGCTTTTTGCTAGGTTGAGGGGACAATATGTACCTGCATCCCCATCTCTTACAAAAGTTGGTCAGGGTGCCAGCCACGCCAAAAAATACTCTTTGAGATTCCCTTTCAGAAGTGATGGTCCTGAATGATTCATCTGGAAACACTTCCATCTGCCACTGGAGCACTGCCCACAAAACCAAGGCATTTCAATTGAGTATCAATACCTGCTATGTCCACCTTAATAAAGTCAAATAAATACTCTATTTTACCATCGCAATAATGTACTTCTTCTAATGTATTTATAAATGACTATGACACTTCTTGGATGGCTTGTCACTTGATCTCAGTCTTGTGTTTTGTAACTTACCTGAGGCAATCAGGAATCCCACAAAAATGCTCCTACTTGTTCCTTTTTATTCACTAACTGCAACCAGAATCTTGGATGCAGTACCAACATATGGATATATTCAGCGATAATAAGATTTGACGTAGTAAAATGCAAGTTAAAAAGATATACTTAGCTAAATGTGATCGAATAGGACTGGGTTTATAAACTGCTAACATCTTATCCCTAGAAAACATAACTGAATACAGAAATATAACAAAATCAGTTAATGTTTTCCTGGGACTTTGGAAGGGGCAATCCCCCCCAAAAATGCCAGGAATGAATGTGCCAATTCTGTCTCTCTTCTGCACTGCTGCTTCTCTCCTACCCCTCATCCCAAATCCCATACACAACTGGAGCATTTCTCCTTAAACGGGATATTTATCAGACACATTATTCTTTAAGGAGCCTTTAAGACTTATTAGATATTGCTGATGTCTAACAAAATAAAATATTATAGAGGTACCAGCTGCTCCAGAAAACTTTTAATTCTGCTGTTACACCTGCGGTTTAATAAAATAAAATGCATCAGGTGTGATGAAAACCTGAATACTGTTATAGTAGAGGCATCGCCTACCCTATGAGAGGCCTCGGGGAAATGCAGTGGCTGTGATGGTTAAGAAGAATGGTATGGTAATAGGTCAGTAATTTCAAGAGGATAAGAGGAAAGGGAGATAAACTGAGACATTAGGGGGAAAAACAAAGTTGAAGATAGAATTTTATAGGGACTTCAGATTCATTAGCAAGAAGACTACTGAAACTAAGATTATAATCAGTCTATGAAATTCAAACTCCACATAAATCAGTGTCAAAATCTGACTGAAATCCAAATGAGTCAATATTTCTCTGTTGAAATGAATAAAATTAGAGCAGATGTGAGTCAACTAAAAGCATCTGTCATGTCCAGCTAAACTAACTTAAACAGGATCGAGTTTATGGGCACCTTTCACACTGAGCAATCTGCAGAACAGTGCACATGGATGAGAATTTAGTAAAGGACTTGGGTAGTTTGATTTTTCTCTTAAATTATACATGTTTGCTCTGAACTGCATATACTGTATTGCCTATTCTATTTGTGTTAGAACTGAATGGTAAAGATATAAACAATTTATAAGGGCAGTACATACTGAGTCGTTTCAAAACCCTAGAGATTAGTGAATAATAAATATAGCCGAGCCTTTTGTTAGTACCCTAATGGTCTGTTGTTTAAGTCACATATGATTATTGTGGTGCTAATATCATCCTGGGGATGAAATGGATATTAAAATGATAGTATGTTTCAAAGAGATCCACTGAATAAAACAGAGCCTGATTCCGCTGCCACTGACTTTAGCAAGAACGGGGCAAAGCTCTAATTCAGACAAACAGTATTGCACTATTTATATTTCAAGGATGGAGGATATGAGACAAAAGAATTAATGTGATTTGTTTACAGCCCTGGAGGAAGTCAGTGTTGGAAGTTTTTGTTTCTATTATGTTCTGTTCTGTCCTACTCTATTCTATTGTATTCAATTCAGCTTGTGCTCCTGCCCTCATCCTCAAAACATCCAAGAACACCCCAAGAGTTACTAAACAGTATGTTCTGTATTTTTCACTTGTGATTTGCTTTTGAAAGATGCAGTATTATAAAAGACTTGGGGATAAGGCTGTTTTTGATTGGGATTCTAATTACTTTTTTTTTGTTTGTTTCTCCATTTTGGATTGGACGTGGAGTTTGTCTCAAGGAGCTGTAGAAGGAAAAGGGAAGAGTTTTGACTGAAGGCAAAATTTTTGCTGTCCTATGTTTTTAGTACCTAAGCTGAGATCAAATGCCTGCATGCTGTGCTTGCCATGGAGCGTGGAGACATTCAAGGTGGTCTTCAGACCGCGTGATTTAGAAAGTTCAATCTCTTGTACACACTTTACCTTTGTGAAGGGGAGCTCCACTGTGCTTGACAAATGCTAATGCCTACCAGAGACCCAATACCTGAACTCTCAGCAACAGCCTGGATCCAGACCATTGAACACTTTAAGGCTAAACACGGGCATCTCAAATCCCGTTTGAGATCTTGCAGAGAGCCAGTGTAAGGAACACAGGGCAGGTTAGCTATCCTTCTGATAGTCCAAGATGTTAAGGAAATGTGTAACTGGTCTTGCACTCTCTGAAAGTTCCCGAGCGCTGCTAATTTCATGTCTAGTTCTATGGCAGTCTTACAGTCTAGCCAACAGTGACTGGAGACTATAAAATGAGAGCGCATAATTTTGTGCCACAGGGGACCTTCGGGTTCCTGGCCAGCGGGAAACTGCAGTTGCTGCTCTCGTTTGGCAGGACGCGCACCTTCCACCAACCAAACACTTGCGAACTCCTCAAAACATCACTTTCATTTCGAGCAGACACAAGCCGCTCACTACTCAACAGGGCTCGGCAACGCTCCTTAAACCGAGGCAGCTTTTAAGCCTCGCTTTGCCCGCTGACACCCAGACCACAACATCTTTTCACAGAAGAAGAAAAACACCTTTTTTTTTTTTTTCCTCTCCCCCTTCCAGTTTCCAGACGGGAGCATCTCCTTCCCCTGGTCCTAGTGCTTCCCCCGCGCGCGCACACACACACACCCCCACACC